GGGGGGGGCTGGTTCCCAGCGGGCAAAGCCACCCCGTGCCCACATCGCTGGCATACGTCGAGGGACTTTCCCCTGCCTCTGCGCCCATTACACTCGACAGATTCACTGCCAGATTCTGTCTTGCCCTGATGGGAGCAAGGGGTGGCCAAGGGGCATGTGCGGGATCACCGTGTCTTGACATGGGAATCGCCGAGTGTGGTGCCCAGCCTTGGCGTGGCTGGGAAGTGAGCATATGCACAGTTATTTGTCTGGCCTCCAAGCTGGGTGGCAGCCCAATGGCTACACAAAGCTAGGATTTACACTTGTTGCACTGGGATCCCTATCTCAGGGCCCCATGATGTCTGCAATCCAAAGTCTCTGTGCAGTGGGAGCTCCATAGCATGGCACGAAGTACACGGAGCAGCTAAGCCAGACCCATGCCTCTCACATCCACGTGCAGGTGGGCATCAGGATGGAGTCATACTGGGGAGGTACCTGGCCCAGGCTGGGATCATGCTGCTCCAGCCATGTATCCATGCACAAGCATCTGTTTGCAAACAACCCCAAGGATCTGTATGTGTTCCCAGTGGGAATGCCCACATGAGCTTTTGGAGAAGAGCAGGTGAGGGCTGGGGCGCAGGATGCAGTGCCACTGATTGCAGGCTCTCCATGTCTTAGTTTACAACTAGCCATTCCCATTACAGCAGTCATTAGAGATACTTTCTTTTAATGTGAGCAGGGGGATAGAAGAGGTGCAGCTGGAGGTAAACAGTAACCTGTGCTTGTGGCAGGAAATAAGGACCCATTGTCTCCAGTGGTACGTAACCAGGAAGATAATAGCTGGGACAGCAAATGCCAACTAATTAGAGGGGAAATGCTGTCCTGAAATTGCAGCTGGCTGCAGGAAATGTTGGGTACCAGCTTTTATCCATCCAAAGGTGGAGCTGCTTTATGGTGCTCCTCTGTCAGAGTTTCAGCTTTGCATGTTTTGTCTTCAGAGTGCAGATGTGGCTGTCTGGGGAGCCACTGAACTGTGAGGTCCCCCTTGGGGCAACTATAGGTGTGAGGAGGAGCAACCTGGGGCATGGTGGCAGGTGGCTTGCTCTGTCGAGTGACATGCATTTCCACTGTTGTGTGACAAGGGGCAACTGGCCACAGTGGGTCAGAAGGCTTGGGGTCCTCATCACTGCCTCTGATACTGTGCCACTGGAGTGCTGGGACTGCCCCATGTCCTATGATACCTCAGGGCTAGAGGTGATAGGAGGGGACAGCAGAACCACTGCAGAACCAGCAGCAGGGACAGAGAGGTGGAACTGAGTACACATGCTGCTTAAAAGCTTACTCAGAAAGATCTTGGCTTATTGAATGCCCGTGCTGGTTTTGGTGTAACCCATGAGGAAGAATGGACTTCCATAGATGAGTTGGTCTCAGGTCCTTGTGGGGTTGGGTGAAGAGAGCAGACTACCTGTGGCTTTACATTGTCTTCTCCGCCAAAATAATCTGTAATGATTTTCTTTCTAGGAGAGTGGTTGGTTGCCTTCTTTTCATCTAATTTCCCCCCAAGTGTGCTTCATCCAGAACACCAACCCACTGCAGGTCATCACGGGAAGATGGAAGTGGCATGTGAATGTGGCCAGGGCTGCTCCTCACTGGGCACCAGGGGCAACAACTGCCGGCAGGAGGGGCTCCTGTGTAGCATCAGTTGTCATCCAGATGTTCTTTGCAAGATGTCATGATGTGATTAAGACTCATTGATTTAATTATGAGTTGGTCCACAACTGGAACTGGTTGTGGTTTGAACTTTACAGTCAGAGACTCAGCTGTGACTCATGTTGGTGGGAGACATGTCACGGCACACCAAGGAAGCTGCTACATCTGATCAATTGCAAAAAATTGTTTAATGCAGCTCCCTGAGAGCACAAGCACTTCTATGGCTCCAGTCATTTTCATGCTGCTCCTTTCTTTTTACCATAATAGTGGTGCTGTCAGGCCCTCTTCAGAAGCAGGAGACCTTATCATCAGAAAGTAATATGGCTCCGACTTTTCATAACGTAGATGTTGTCCCAGTCTAGTTTTTGTTGTGCTCATAAGCCCTTATCCCTTTGGGTGTTGCTTCTGGCCTTAAGTTGTACCAGGGGATGTTCAGGTTGGATGTTAGGAAAAACTTACCCTGATGAGTGGTGATGCATTGGAAAAGGCTGCCCAGGGAGGCGGTGGAGTCACTGTTCCTGGACGTGTTCAAAAGCCATGTGGCTGTGGCACTGAGGAACATGGTTAATGAGCATAGTGGGGATGGACTGGCAGTTGGACTGGATGAGATAAGAGGTCCTTTCCAGCCTTAATGATTCTTTGACTCTGTCCCCATTGCCTCTGCACAATAAATTTCCCCGTAGTCCTCTCTGCATGCAGTGGAATCCAACCCCATGCCCATTCCGTGTCACCTTTCAAGGGGTTTCTGCTACTCCTTCCTCCAGAGCAGATGCTTTTTGTCCTTTGATTAGCTCCACACTCCTGTGGTGGTTTTAGTGGCAGTGATAGGAGCAAGCTAAAGGGGGTGAATTTGGAGGAGCCGAACAAATTTCCAGCAGTGAGACTTTCATGAGTCAAGGTGCAATTCATGGAATATACATCTGGAAATGGAAAAAAATACATATATCTCCATCTTCTGCCAAAGGAGGGTTCATTCCAGACAGGTTACCTTATCTGACCTGCCTTGCAGGTGTGAAAACCTTCATTGACCCACCCCATGTTCTCTACCTGCCCCTGCAAACTCCAAAGGAAACCACCACCTTATTCCCAGCCACTGCTTTCGTGGGAAGCAGCCAGTTTCCTTGAGGCGTAAAGCTCACGACCTGAGAATTTGTGGCACTCCACAAAAGGAAATATAGACTAAACTTCTGAAACATTTTCTCACGTTGACGTCTTTCAAGCTGTGGAATTGTCTCCCACAGGGACACGTGGATGCTCTACTCCTTGAGTCAGTGAGACAGGATGGGACAGAGCACAGGGGTACACGTAGTTGGGAACCATACTGCTCCATCCCTGGGAGAGACAATGCGGGGGGAGAGAGGAAATAAATTAGATGACTTGAATCATTTCCAGCTCTAATTGCTATGATTGTGCAGTAGTTTTCCCAGACCCAAGTATAACATTAACCATCAGAGCACAATTTCACCCATGGTCAATTAAACCAGGATTCATCTGGTCTGACATCACCTAGTCAAATCCATCCTAGACTCACGGACACCCTGCACTGACCAGAGGTGGGAGCCAAGTAGGGAGTCCACAGCATGGACAGAAGCTGCTGCCAGCAGAGATGGGTGCCCCAAGCACGCTCTTCCCCTGCACTGGCACAGAGGGTAATGCAGCAACTGCACAATGTGTGTTTGCTTTTCCTTACCTTGGTGATGCACTCAAAGTATCCCTGAAAGTAATTCCTGCATCTGGTGGTGCTGCTGGTGGCTGCACTTCTCTGAGGTCAAACAAAGACAGCCAGTAATGCTCATTGCCAACCTCATGCGGTGGCCTGTGGCTCCTGCACAGGCACTGCTGCACTGCTATTGGGTCAGTTTACCTTCTGTCCTCTGTCCAGTTTACCCCTCCTCTGGGAAGCACAGCTGTGCTGGGCCTGTCAGGCACCTGTAGCAGGACTGAGAGTCTGGAGCTGCATTTCTGGATGCTGAGTTCCACGGGCTGAAGGGCAGGGCAAGGGCTCCTGGGCTTCTCCTATGGCAACCCTCTTCTTTTCAGCTCCTTTCTCTTCTTCCTCTCGTCCCTGTATGAAGGGCTGAGCTGAGCCATTTATTAGGTCTAAAATACGTAGAAATCAAATAGTGATACCCTCTCTGTGAGCCACAGGGATTTGAAGGACAGTCATACCCAGGTGGACCTGGTGGCTGCAGTGTGTGAAGCCCTGACTTGCTGCTACCACGTAACCCAGCAGCCAGACCATGCAGAGTTCATGCCGCCTCGGTCAGTGCTTTAATCATTACACCGACACTCCCAGCAGCAGGCTCCAGGGGCTCAGTGAGTTAAAGTGTAACTGCCCTCCTCAGCGGCCCCCAGCCAGTAGCTCCTGCCAGCAGGAGTGGCCTTCCACATGAGTCCCATCAGCTCCCAGTGCTGCTTGGCACCAGGGGAAGGTCCTTGTGGTACCTCGAGGGGTGACCAGGACCATGTCAGGTTTCACCCCATCCCTCCCTCCCGTTGGCCAGGTGGATGCTGTCCCCAAGCCAGGAAGATGGGAGATGTCCCTAGCAGTCCCGGGGCTACGTGGTTAGCGGGGGCTCAGGCCCCCAGCCATAGTCAGACGGTGAGGTAATCTGCCCCAGTCCCGCTCCTCTCACACCAAGGCCCTCAGTCTCTTCTGCTTGGCTTAGACCCCAAGGTGAAGAGTTGTACATCCTCTCCAAAATTTTTATCGGCATGAGTTATGACAACTCTGGATATTCTCGTTGTCTGTTGAAATGGCTGATCCCTTCCTCAAGCCTTACTTAATTCTTGGCCTCAGCTGCTTCCTGTGGTAACGAGCTCCATAGCATAATTAAATACGGTCTGTGGTATCAACTGCACCACTGTCTTCAGCAGGGGCAGCAGTGTTTGCCTCCCTGCTGGGTCCTGCATCAAGATCGGTGATGTGATGCTGAAGTCCTATAAATCCAGTGAGATGTCCCATGAGGCTCTGCCAGAGGCAAATGGGACCCCATAGCTCCTGTTTGTTGTCATGCACCCCTCTGGCACAGCAGCAGCCCCCTCCGTTCACAATTTCTTTGTCCCCTCATTTAAACTTTCTTTAATAATTTCTACCTCTGAAAGCAAGGTAGGCTTCTCTCCTTTAGCAGGAACAAGAAAGTGGTCTAGTCTCCTGATAACCACTGGGATTAACGCTGCAGAATAACCACAGATTGAGAAGGAAGCACACTGCCCGTGCATTGTGTCTGTTCCCATGTACCATGCTGAGCAAGTGGGTTCACACCAATGGGGAGAGGCTGAGACTGGGGCTAATGGAGGCAACCCCTCTCCCTGCCTGACTCTAGGACACATCTCACAGCCCATGGTGGTTGTTTTCAACCCCATCTTTGCGTTCACCGCCCTGACACTGTAGGGACATTTCCTTTCCATAGGGATCTCCCACCTGCGTGCTGGAAATGACTGGAAGATCAGTGGGTACCCTTGTCCTCCCCAGCCGCTCCCTTGCTTCTCCATGTTGCCACTGGCACGGGGTGATGCAAGCTGGCTTCTAGGGCGGGTGACACGCTGCTGGTGGGGCAGGTGACAGGGAATGTGCTGACAACACCAAGCTGGGAGGGTGCGACTGGTGCCACCGAGGTGCTTGGGAAGCGGGCAGAGCCTGGACAGGGAGGGTGGCATAGCACAGAGGGACACCCTGCGTGCCTGCTGGGTGCACAACTGCTGTGGGCAGAGCTCATACAGCCCTGGGATGAGCACTGAATAGAGGCAGAGAAACCGCAGTGTGCTTCCTGCCTCAAGGAAGTGGTGGAGTCACTGTCCCTGGAGGTGGTCAAAAGGATAGATACGACACTGAGGACATGAGTTAGTGGGCATGGTGATGATGGGTCAGCAGGACTAGATGGTCTTAGAGGTCTTTTTCAACCTTTGTGATTACGTGATATTATTCTGTGATTTACTTTAGGGTCCCACAAAGCACAGAGATGAACTACAGAGCTTAAGCCAGGTTTGGGATGGCCTCCACGGCTTTGCTGCTCACAAACCAAATGACAATAAAACCTTTGTGTGAAAGCTATTATGTTTTGTTGGCTGCAAAGCATCCTTTGATGACAAATCTCTTTGGTTAGTAGTCTCACCTTCACAGTGTAAGCCCAGAGGGAATATAAATACAGTTCTTAGACATTGTGGCTTTTAAACAAACATATTTAGCATCGGTAATATATGGGCTTACACAAATACCAAAATTAAAGCACATAAAATAGGCAGAGAAGGAAATTATAATAACTGAAGCACCAGCACAGCCACAAGATATGAAAGGGGAAGATACCACGTGGCAGATAATGGTTCTTTTCATAGACACTCAGATATTGTGTTGAACATGGTCTAAGAGCTGAGGCACCAGACAAAGAGCTGCATGCAAATACTGCTGTTCATTTGGCACATTTCAAGGGATCAATTAGGAGAAGGTACCCATGCATGTGTTTATGCACATAAGGAGCTAAAGGCATATAAGCCAATAAGTTTTAGTTCAGATTGCAGCCACATATGCTTGTGAAGGTAAAATCAAGGACAGAGTTGCCCTGTTTGGCTTAAGTTATATTGCTTTTGTGCTCTATATTCTCTCTAGTCAACTTCCTTAAGAAATCACAGCTGAATTTGCTGCTTGAGATACGAATCCTCCAGGATACACAAAACGCCCACTGCTTGACACTGGTCATGGCATCTAAAAGTAAAGCCAAAACTCACTAAATGCTTCAGCAGATCCTGTGACTGTAATCACACACACCTGCAAAGAAAAAAATCCCCAAGCCCCATGATTCATGCCCCTAAACATGATATTTGCTGTCACGCACAAGGCCTTGTTTTCACTCAGGAGGCTTTTGGTTTTTTGTTTAGCCCATTTCATTCTTATTTCTGAGGCTTTCCAGTTCAATGAAGCTTCATTTTTCTTCTCTCCAGCAGTGAGAGCTGGCATTCTTTTTTTTTTTTTGGACATACAAGTGTACAAAAGTGCAAATGTTCTTTCCATTGCAGGACTTCAGGAGCTGTGATTTGAAGAACCAAATGTCATGAAAGATTATGATGTCTCGTTTAACACCTTCAGGATGTGGTTGGTCTATAAACCATTCTGTAGAAGTTTGAATAACCTGTCCACAGCGATCTGCAGAGAATGAGTGAGCTGTTGGGTGCAAAGGGCCCAGATCTATCTCTGCTGGTACTTAAGGAATACATATAGTTGTGCATTAGGGGTGACCGCATCATTCATTGTCAGTGAGCTACAGGAACCTGCACATGGCAGCTAAACCTGCAGGCTTCTCGTGCCCTTTTTGTTGGATTGAGTTGCTGAACTGAGTTGCACATGGTGGTGTGGACAGAGCCCTGGTGAGGGCAAGGGAGAAGATGAGCTTTAATTTCTCCTTTTGTCAGTTTGCACTTTACCTTTTCTTAAAGTTCCTTGGTTCTTCCCTGTTGGCATTTGACAGTGTCAGCACTTCAGTGAGGATGTGCTTTGAGATACCTGAGCAACAGGAAGAGCTTCAGGTCTGGCTCTGAGCTGGGCAAGAAGCCATTACTGCCACTCTGACTCCTCACATGGCCATGGGGTTCCAAAACAATCCCACACAACACCAGGCTGCAACACACCCCGCAGCCACGCGGCTCAAAGGTCTCCACCATGTCTGAACTTGCTGAGATAGCATCTGAAGGCTGCACACGTAATGATGAGCACAAGCGATATTGTTGTGCTGAACAAGGTCTCCTACCAGAAAAACAAAAACAGGGAAAGTCGGCGTCATCCTTCCTAACCCCTGTTGCTGCTCAGCTGTAAGCAAACGCAAAGAAAAGCTCTGGGTCAGCGTTAGCTGGGATGACTTTGCTGTGTGGGCCTTAGACTGGTTTCCCAGTGAAGTCATGCTCCAGTCTGTCACCTCACACAAAGGGAGCCTCTGGGTCATCCGCGGTGATGTTGTCTGCAGCTCTATAGATAGCTTTGATCTGCTCTTCTGACAGCTGAACATAAATAATTGTGCTGCCGCTGTTGTTTTCAGGAGTCATCGCTTCACTCACATTGTGTTCAAATGAAAGGCTCCAGCCATAAGGGCCCAGAGCAGCCTTCCACTGCCACCTTGAAGTCACCGTGCCCAGCTCAGCCTCAAATCATTGCAAAAAACCCTGGTGACCTCACAGCACTGTGTGACAGAAAGCAATCCCAAAGCGTGCAGAAGCCAGAGTGGGCAGAGCAGTTCGGTTCCCGTCTTGAGGACCAGCAACACCCCTTGCTCTGGCCTGCAGCTCCTCCGTTTGCCACATCCATCTGATGGTAACTTTGTGGGCCAACAAAAGTAGCCAGCAAAACCACCTTATTGAAATGCAGAACTGTTAAGCATAAGGTAAAAAAATAGGCACTGTTTTCTGAGATGCGCTGAAAGCTGACAGTACTAAAAAATTGGAAGTGAGTTAGCTTCCAAGCAGGAAGGCCTTGCCATGGCTGTATATCATCCTCAGCTGAAATTCCTGTTTGTCCATACATTTCTCTGTTGTAAGTCCTACTCCTATTCAGAGAATCAAAATAGCAGCATGACTCCTCACTTATTCTTGTCCATTTTACTCTTCTGGGAGCCCTGAGATTGCAAAAACATGAATATTCACCGTGGACAAAAAGGACATCTTGGGAATGGAGCCAAGCTGCATGCAGGCCCATTAATTCCTCTGCTACCACTTCAGCTGCAGGCTACTAGAAAGCATTAAACAAAAAAGCAGCAACAACAGCAAGGAAGGAAGGTGAAGGAGGGCTAAGCAATCTCACTGCCACCTTCAGTGGGAGATTCCTATCTTGTGCTGAATGGCAGCCTCTAAGGAAGATGGTCTGCCCCAGCTGTGCACTGCCCAGGACAGGCAGAGCCAGACACAAGTGGCACGCTTTGGCCAAAGCCTTGCATTCATCCCCACTCACGATAACCCAACACAACGCTATTTCCTAAGAATAGAGTGGGATCTGCTGCTGAAAGTGACCTAGGGAGTGTTTCATATCTAATATCAAGTGACTGCTGGAAATGTCCAGGCTGCCTAGCCATGGTGGAGTAACAGTGTTCTTGAGCTCGTGTGTTTGATCTGTTCCATGGTAAGTGATGCACAAAATGCCCTCCTGCAAACAGCATGCTGGCTCAGGTAGGCGTTGCCATGGCCTAGCTGCACTTCACACGGCAGCAGCTTGGACAGCAAACAGCCCCGAAGCCACACTGTGCTCCTTGACTACAGCAAGGGGCATCAGTGCATACCCTGA